CCCCCCCCCCCCCCCCCCCCACTCCTCCTCCTTTAGTGGCAAATGTAGCTATATGCAGACTACATTATGTACACCAAAATACTTGTTATTATTATCACAGGAAATTGACATTTTCATGTTGTGAACTAAAACTAAAAGTGTGACAATACAGGTCCAAAAAATCAAAAATGAGTAAGCTCTAATGCTCTATAACAAATGAATGATGCATCAAATATTTCTTAAATCTTTATTCCTTGTATATGTCTATGGCACAAACATTTGACGCCATTTTATGTCACACTCGTACTAAAATTTTGTACTGTGCAACAATAAGTCATTTTCGTTTTCTTATCTTACAATATTAAAAACAGACTTGTGTATTTTATTTTATATATTGTACACACAAATACACAATTGATAGTGAAAATATCGATTGTTTTGATCGCAAATTCAATAGAAAGTCTAATAAAAGTATACTAACCTATTCAACTTGTTATCCAAGTAATCCTTACACATGCCAACCATACATTAATGTGAAAAAAGTCCTTGAAACGCAAGACAAACACCTTGAAATTGCTTCTACGAATTACCTATAAAGAATAATTTCTTTGAACTTGCAATTATGAATGTCAGCAGTTTGAATGAATTACGAACATCCGGTTTTCATGGGAAATCCGAGGGGAAATCCCAGGAATGACGTATTTACAAACCCAAAACTCGGATACAGACATTTTTATTTGCAGTTTTACTCACGCTCGTGATACGAAACTTAACGAATTGGTTGGCTTATAAACGGAGTAAATTATCGCTGTATAAATTGTAAGTCTTTGATAATTATCGAACATGACATAAAAGCTAGATACTGTACAGACAGATCGAAGTATACATGTATGGTAAATATTTATAATATATATCACAGATACTCAAATTATATACTAATAAAAGGTACGCGATTGGTATATATTTCTTGTCTATATTTAATCCTTATACTCAAATTTCTGCAAGATAAATATGGTACTGTACATATCTAGCATGCACCAGTAATCAGTATGGAATGAAGGCGATGTGCATGACACATTTGCTATGGAGTCATTGTGTGAGTAACTGAGTTTGTCTCATTGACTGAATTAAGACCTATAGTTTTTGTTTGTTATCAGAAAGAAAAACACTTGCTTAACCCAATTTATACTATCCACTATGACATATAAACAATTAAATAAATGGTAAATAAAGCCTAATTAGCGGAATTACAAGATTACAAGATAGTGATGCATGACAACTTCACCCATTTTTCCTTAGAGAATCATTTATAGCGAAACGATTGGGGAGGGGGGCAATTTATGACATCAATATATTGCTGGGTGAGTGCTGCGCACCCAAGGCTTGAGCCCGCTAAGGGGGGGGGGGGGCATGCCCCTGTGAAAAGCTGAGCTCTTTCAGAGCCCTGTAAATGGAATAAAATTAATGCTAGCTATAATAAAAAATGGTATGTGGGAATTAGTTAGAAAAACAATAAACAAGACACTGAAAGAATAATAAACTGTGCTTGCATACATACATAGCATTAGAAAAATTCTTCCTTTTATAATGTCTAGTTTATGAAAGTGTTTAGAATATGTGCCATTTGTGTAAGTTGAACGTTGTATTGTACACCTCGGCCCACATTTACCAATGCATTTGAAAATCTCTTTACCCCACCTCCACCCACCAGTCTACCCAGCTGTGGCTATACCTCTGATGTGTGGTGCACAGAAATAAAACTGTGTATGTTAACATTCCATACTCAGTCCAGATGGTCCATGCATCAGCTATCTGCTTAGTTGACATGTGTATTTTGCAGAATTAAGTTACTGCATGGAACTTGTACATCAACCTCGTACCCAGGGTATTTGCTCTTGGGGAGCAAAATACCCTGGTATGGCTTGGTCACGTGCCCCGCAGATTTTGCGTAAAATGGCGTATTGTTTAAGAGCAAATACCTGGGTACGAGGTTGTACATTAAAATTCAATCTCGTTCCCCGAGCCTGCGATCCTCGGGAAGGAATCGAAGGCTCTGGGATAATCTGTTACCGGAAGCCAAGAATCATGGCTAAGATTGAACTATGCATTCCATATCAATGGCCAATCAGATTCCTCCCTGAAACGGATTATCCCAGAGCCTTCGATTCCTTCCCGAGGATCGCAGGCTCGGGGAACGAGATTGATTAAAATTTAAAAGCGTACGTGATATAATTACTAGGAGTGACAATGTATATTCACTCCCCCAACCCTAGTAAACAATACGTCATTTTACACAAAATCCGCGGGTCACGTGACCAGGCCAATTTACCTGGGTATTTCGCTTCCCAAGAGCAAATACCCTCAGGGTACAAGGTTGCTTGTACATAACTTTCCAGCTAGTCCACTACACACAGGCTAAAATAGCCTCAACTTCATTTGTTCTAAATGTTCTATACTGTTGCAGCATTTTTTAAATGCCGGTAAGGGTGTTATTCAGAGATTACGTATGACACTGGATGACAAGTTATTGACATCACCCGCAGCAAACGCCCATGAGGTAGTGATGCCCTGGCCAGTAATTTGGCATACTGTACGTATTTCCTCGATTAAATGCTGCCCTCGAATAAATGCTGCCCTTGAATAAACGCCGTCCTCGTAAGACAGTGCACATTAGGGCGCTTTAGTATAGTTTTTGCGTTTTGTAATGAATTTGGTTTTTGTTGAATTCAAAACGCTGTGCGGTGTCTAAAGTGCACATGACATGAATTTTGTTGCCTTAATTTTATTGCTTTACTAGAAAGTACCCTTCAAATGGTGAAGAATGGGGGTTACAGTTTTCTCATGTCTTATCTCAATCCAGAGTTATTACAGTTTTTGTAATTTGGGCTATGACGTCATAAAGTTGTGCGAAAGTTTGCAAGAAAAACTGAAAGTGGAACATGTCAAAGAGGATTAATAGGAAAAGAAATGAAAGTTAATATACACAGTTGTTGAGTGCAGTCACACATACATTTTGGTATGTTTGTGTGGTTGTCAAGGCAACTCACTAGTTCCCAGTCTCTGTGTATTAAGTCACTCGGTTCCTGCTGTTTACTGGCAAAGAAAAGCGCCTGTTTCACAGTTTTTCATTGACAAGTGCTAAAATGTTCCTATAAAGAACATAAGCAATGAAAACAATAGAAATATAAAACTAAGTTTGTGCAAGAAAGGGGACTGGAAATTAGGGCGTTGTCTTGACAACCTCATAAACATTCCAAAATGTATGTGTGACTGCACTCAACTACTGTGCAAAGTTTCATTTCATTTGCTCAAATCCTCTTGGAGATATTGCACTTTAAGTTTTTCTTGCAACTTTTAGCACAGCTTATGACGACATAGCTCAAATTACAAAACCTGTAATAACTCTGGATTGAGATAAGATATGAAAAAACTGTAACCACCATTCTTCATCACTTGAAGGATACTTTCTAGTAAAGCAGTAAAATTAATTATAAAGCAAAAAATTCATGTCATGTGCACTTTAATTTAATCGAGTAAATACTGTATGGTCTAAATATGGCCTGGACAATTAGTATATTGTTCAACATAATGGCTCCCTAGAGTGCCGGCCATCTCTTTGTGCGGTTGCTAAACGAATATGATATTCTGGATTTACGCTTCGTATTTTTTAAAATTAGCTAGTGTATCTATTCTAATCAAATTGCCGCTTGGTGCAAACATGCGCCCAGTGGAAGCCAGGTTAACCCAATGTACTGTTACAACTGTATTGTTATTGTATGGCATGGCGATTCATCTGCAAAATGCAGCATTTTGATTGGTCCTTGAGCTGTCGGTAAGCTGCAGTACGCACCGCTCACTGATCCCATAGTATGAACCGCTAAGAAGGACTGCTCGCGAACCTCAAAAATTTAAATGGCTATTTTCGCAGTAGAAGACTATAACTATGTGACCATGGTAAGTTCTAATAGGAATAAGTGTAATAACTAACTATTCTACCCTGTTAAGAACTCAAGACATCGCAATGAATGTTGACGAGAAAATTCATTTTAATGGTTACAAAGTGGATAGTGAAGTGTGCTATGCCTACTTTCCCAATGACCAAGTCAGTGTGACAAATACAATTTCTCACAGTAATGTTCAAATTGTCGAAAACGGTTGTAATGACAACGAGTTTGAAGAAATCGACAGTGAATGTCAATGTGATGTTGTCCATTACAATGAACATGATGGTGATAGTGATGACTTATATGGTTATAATGATAACGATTTTGAAGGCGGTGACAGTCCATCCCAAAATGAAGTTGCCACCTACAACAAACATGACGGTGAAAGTGGTGATGATTTTAGTAAGGATCATTATAAACGTAATCATGATTATGATGGTAATGAGTTTGTTAATAATCCTGATTGTGACGATACTTTTTGTCATGATGATGAGGACGATGACGATAACGTTGGTGATGAGGAGGATGATTCTGACGACGAAGATATTGGTTATTGTGCTACGAAAACTGGACAAGACGATGATAGGGACGATGGTCTTGTGTACTATCAATGCAACGAGTTTAATGAGAATACAACTGCCACTGTCAGATATTGTGATTCTTGTGAAGATAGTGGTAACAAAGGATATAATGGTAATTCCGCTAGTGAATATTTTACCTGTGCAGACGATGATGACGTCGTCGATCATGATATACTTGAGCATGGTGATGGACGAGTAAAAAAATATATGGACAGTCACGGCAGGGTACCAAAATTATATTCCTCTGTTCAGTTAACCAAATGCAATGATTTGTGCAGTACAAAACAATACGAAAACGTTATGAACACGTTGGAAGAATTTCAAATACAGAGCGAGTGGGAAGAACACAAACGCCTTACGTCTGGTTTACAAAGACGCGAAATCAATATTGATTTAAAAATTGTTTTGTTTCTTGAGCAAGGAATGGCTGAAATTCTGCAGAAGCATTTTTCACTGGGCAAGAAATTGTTTCGGCAGGCTTTACGGTTGTGCTCACAAAGTAAGAACTTATGCCTTCTACAAGGACGTGCGCTGATGTTCCTTGGCAATGCATACAGGAAAGAAGGACCAATCAAATATGGCAAAGCATTTAATTGCTTAACATTGGCACAACAGAACTTGTTCCTTGTCGAATCCAAGGAGGATAAAGCCGAATTGAATTATTTCCTTGGGGTGTTATATTTGAATATGTTGAGTATTTCTATACATGAACCGAGTCAAAGATCCCGAGACAGAATTGAGAAGCATTACCAAGCTGTATATGATTATGCAATGGCCGAGTCCGCATCTCGCGTCCGGGAAAAAATTCAAAAGATTTTTCCACTTGGTATGGCTAATTTTTTACTTGATGGTCAGACGGAGTTGGCCAGATCTCGGGTTGTACCAGAGACGAAATTGAAGAAGGCTGAGGATTGCTTGATATATTTCGCTCATCGTTTTCCATTTGATGAACAACCGGTAAGCATGCAAACAGATTACTGCAAGTCTATGTCTGATTTGGAATATCGAAGAGGACATTTTCACACATCCCAGGTAAGTTGGTACATCATCTTTTTTAAATGCAGTATTGGAGAATACCCTCACTTTTCCAATATGGGGATCCCCCCACAAATACATTGCTCAAAAATAATTTTAGTTAAAAGAGTATTTCCTGAATGTCCAAACCAAGATTTTTACTGTAATGTCACAGATCCTAATCATTAAAACAATGTAGACGTTTCACATTTGTCACCAATGCAGTGCATTGATGGAACGAAACTTGCCAGCCTAGACGTAGGCCTTCTATTTTTATTATTTTTTTTAATATTCAGCGCTTTTTCACATGAAAAGACTGGGAATGCTAGCCGAAAATTGACCAAACCTGCCAAAGATACCTGCCAAAGCCAGCCGAGTAAAGGCCTAGGTCTAGGCTGGAAATTTGCTTCACTTACTGCCAGCAAGAACAGTCCTGTAAGATAAGCTACCTTTGGTTATGTCTGTCTCTCCACGATGTTTCGAAGTAAGCCTTCATGAGGAATTTAGTAGTGTCTACATTAAGTATACATACATACCTCCTCACCTGTGGAATGTAATTTAATTCGTAGTAGTAGCTGGATTCTGATATTTGGAACACAATCATGCATATATGCACAATGAAATTTTAATTATTTCTCCCAATTTATTTTTTTTCTAGGAATTTCTGGGAAAAGGTCTTAAAATAGCCGAGATGCATGGGTATCACTTAGAAGTTCAATCACTTGAGAAAAGATTATTAATGTTGGAGAGATGTTTTCCTCGTGTATCCGTGTGCTTCCCTCTAGATGATACCGCTAACCTTGCTGATCAGAGTTCCACGGCTGACTCCGAGGTAAATGTCTTCATCTCTGGAAGTGAATGACAAATAATATTAAACATAATTAACTGGTAAATAATTGGATCTGAAATAGCCTCTTCCGCAGACAACGCCTTAAATGAGCGGGTACAGTTTCAGTGCTTGCAAGAAATTCTAAACTGATGCAGCTACAGTAATTCAGCTGACCCATAAAACAGGTGTGATGTCAGATGCTTTCGCTCTTTCGCTCACAACATCGTTCCTTATATTATATTGTCTGCACACATGCAAATTTTGTGTTTTTTTCAGGACGCCCATGTGTTTGATGTACGCACATCTGTTTTAGGCTCGCATACATTGGTCTACTACGCATGTCAGGCTGTGGAAATAATAAAAAAACAGTATTTTATTGAGGTGTTAACGCCAATATTTGTCTTGAAAAATCAAGACAACCAGGGAAGGAAAGTTTTATTTTCATATTTTGGCATTAATATGAAAGAAAACAGGGGCCAAAATTCACAAGAGAACTTCAAATGTTATTGATTTTCACGGAAAATGTTTTATTTTTGTATATTAACTATGCCTGCGCCAAGCAGTCTAGAAGTTCAAAAAAAAAATAAAGCTACATTAACTGAGTGAGTTGTAATCTTATTTCTTTAACAACAGCTTGATGTTTCTTACGATTTTGGAGTTGTAGACGTTTTTTGCCTTGTTTGTTGATGGTTTTTTTTTGCAAAAGTTACCTTTTCCGATTGATCCCAGCTCTTTCTAGGGTAACTTTTTCTGAAAAATGACCATACCTCTTCTCAAACGCATTACTTCAACTTTCATGCTTAGTTTACCATTTTTGGAAAACGTGTTGATTTTTTAGTCAACATTTTTCTAGTCTTACGATAGCTAGCCGGCAATGTTCCAGCGCTTCTCGTTTTCTTGGATATATATGCGGTCCCGATTGCGAATTATGAAAAAGGTCTATTGGTTTTCTCAGATTCATTTTGATCTGAGATAAGTTAACCAATTTATTGGTTGTTTTAACCAATCTGTTTTTGCAGTGCAATATCTGGTATCCATGGCTAAATATATACCAGATAATGAAATTATCTCACTATTCGGCTGGATGTAATATGCAGTGAGTCCCTATATCTGGGTGTATTATTAGCATGACAAAATTACTGGATGCTGATTGGTTGAGAGGAGTACAATTATTTCATTAATTGTACTGCAGCACAATTAATGATTTTCTCAAAACAAACAAAATGGTGGAAAGGTATTCAATTTATACACAGATGTGAAATGAAATTTCCCTAGAGGAACTAGATGAAAATACGAACAAAAGCACCAAAATTTGCTTTAACAAAAGAACTAAATGAAAATACGAACAAAAGCACCAAATTTTGGTTGAATGTCTGGCAGGACTGGACTTTGACGAGAGAATATAATGTTGACATTGAGAAGTATCCAATTTTGTCATGCAAATAATAAACAACGGCGGCTCGTCCAATTTTTGCAAAATTTCCAAACATCACTCGTACTATTAATCCCTAATTGTACTCGCCATCGCATAATTACCTATACAAATATCGAGATTTGGGGGCATCTCGCAGGTCCAATTTCTGCCAGAGAGCCAATATAGATGTGTATAAATTTGCGTTTGAAAATTCCATCCACAAAAACACATCAATTAACTATTAATTAATAAATAAGTTAATTTCATAAACGCTCAAAAAAATAAGAGGTATAAACAAGGGGAGAAAAGTACGAACGTATATATGTATAGCCACCAGAAAATGATGCGCACTCGTGGTAACTGTTTACATGGCGGTTGTTTCGGATTCACATGTTTCCTCGATACAAACTTTTTAATGGGTGATTCCAGCTATAGACTAAATTTTGATCAAGGCAAGAAAAATGAAATCCAACACCACGGCTAGAAAGAGCGTCTTAGAATGAGTAAAACTGAAAAGATTGGTTGCTAAATGCATGTTGTAAAGTGAAGACAATATAGCCCTGTGAAGTTCGGAAATCTTGTATATATTTGTATTACGCGCGGTAACAACAACCACTTTCGGCTCAAAAATGGTTATTTTTCCCGCGCGTAATGCAAATTTTGTATATACAAAATTTCCGAACTTCACAGGGCTATATTTTCCTCAATTTACAACAATTCGCAACCAAACTTTGCAATTTTACTCATCTGAAGATGCTCTTTGCAGCTATGGTAATGGATTTCGTTGTTCTTGTCTAGATCAAAATTTCGTCTATAGCTGGGTTGTGTGTGTAACGTTTCTGCAGGGGTGCAAAAAATATTTTATTTTCTGGGACGGCAACGAAAAGTGGGAAAATTTTCTGTGAGTTGTCGACACAAATCCTATATAATTTAAATTAATTAAAGGCTCACTTGCAAAGAGGACTAATAAGATTTAAGAATTATTAAATAACCTTCAAAAACCCAATAATTCATGAGGAAAACACAAAGAAAAATCATAAGCATGTCGTATCTTTATATGTGATAGAGATTTCCCTTGATTTACATAAATTTTAACTTTGATTTTCTCGACTTACACAACATATTTTTTTTGAAAATTACTAGGAAAGTGATCCCACCAATGAAACAAATCTAAACGAACAGTTTACCAGTTGAGATAATGAAATCCACTGATAAAGAAACCGTGATAAAATTATCGAAATTCATCTCTTCATGTTTTGAGAAGAGATCTAAATACCTTGAAGCCCGGAATGCTGACTGTTTAACTAAAACGCAAACTTCTTCAATTATATACTGCAAATAGGGTACTCATTTGTTCACTAAAGTCTTCCTTTATATCAATACTTGTTTTAATTCTTGTATTACTCGAGACTGACAATGTCATACTGCCACCAAACATTTTGCATTTCTAAATACTTATACCAACTAATAAGAAATACTGGTATGTAAAGTCATGCTAATAAAGCCATTTGTTACTGTTACTGTTACTGTTGCTACTTCCTATAAAAATTGAGAGTCGAAATTAAGGAGGGAGGGGATAGGAGAGTTTGGAACCAGGGCAGTGGTACGATACAAAGCCAACACAGGGCCAAAAGGGGTAGAACAAGGTTGCCTGCAGATGAGGCTACATTCCGCTATCAAAGTCCTTTCGGATATTATTTGTGGGGCACCCCCTACACCTAGTGTCTGTACTTGAACAAATGGCTACTTATTCGTGCAGTTACTCTCTCTTTCTTTCTATTCTTTCATTTCTTTTCCTTCTTTTCTTTCTTTCTCATCTTTTCTTTCTTACTCTTCTTTTCTTTCTTCCCTTTCTTCTTTCTGCCAGCATAAAAATTTTCTGGCAACAATGGTCCCATGGTCTGCTATATTTTCCACCCGTACGTTTCAGATTTTCGATGAATCCGGAATCTTTCGCTTTAGTGTAAAAGGGGTCCTAACGAACTTTATTACACATCGCTCGTTTATTGGACTTAAAGTTGCTTTTTCAGTTACCGGACAATGGTGAGATGGACGACCTCAACGACTGCACTGGCAATATACAAGGTTTACGGCAAAGTGCGCCGTGGCGTTGGCATCTTACGTTTGGAAACTTTGAAGCGTTTAGGTCAAAGCTATGCTGTGTTTGCAAAATTATCGAAAATAATTTTTCTTTTGGAACGTCATTTCAAAGCTTTAAAATTTAATAAATAACCTGATTTGGAATTTTGAATGGTAAATTTCAGTGATAGCTAATATGGCAATTTCTGATCGTAAGAATAATAGAAAACGCTGACTTATCTTCTTTGATACACCATGTGGAATGACAGCCAATACCATAGCTGGCCATGCATGCAATGCTGACGACAATATTGACATGTAGTCTACTTTTGTAAACTGCACTGTAGATAACGAAAATAGTCCGTTATATCTGGAAACTGTTTCTTTCATACACATAGGATACATTACATTTTAGGGTATAGTACCACAATTAGGGTATGCGGCTGCTCGCGTGATTTACAAGCATGCATGCAAATCAAACCAATATCCATGTCTGTATTCAAACTGCCCCTTTGCCACGATAGCACTGAAATTCTACACACAATTTTTCTCCAGTCACTCACTTAGAATATCTTCATGCACCCAAAAAAGTCATTTTGCTACAATATACTATATTTCTCCACCTTTAGTACAGTTTTGTATACTCTAAATTAAATTCACACTAGGAAATTCAGTTCAAGGTAACACTGAAGGAGCTTTTTTTCTGAAATTATTTCGTTTCTTCGCGACAACGTTAAAATCGTTTGGACGCATAATTACAGCAGGGGCCGATACGTCCGCAGTTGGAATTTCATCTCCTTCCGGTATTTCAATTTTGTAAAGATACAGTAATACAGAAGCAAAGGTAAACATCATGATCTTAGCCAGTGACTGACCAGGACATTCTCTACGGCCAACAGCAAACGGAAGGAAACCATGAAGTTTACTCCAGCCGACAAATTTTCCATCAGAATCAAGAAATCGTTCAGGTTTAAATTTCTCTGGTTCTGGCCATTCTCTTTTGTCATGATGCAGTTTCGCAAGACCGAGATTAACAAAGGTTCCTTTGGGAATATGGTAGCCTCCAATTGTCATGTCTCGGATCGCGTTCGACCCGGCGTTGACCAATAAACCCGATGTCCTTTGGACCTCACATAACGTAGCCTGGAGGTATGGCATGTTCTCGACGTCCGTCCAATTAGGTAAGCGTTCGTTTCCTACAACAATATCGAGTTCTTTGTGAACCTTTATTTGTACATCTGGATGCAATATCATATAAAGAAATAACCAAGCAAGTGACGTGGACGTTGTATCGGACCCTCCAAAGCTTACGTCACACATTAAACTAGCGATATCGTCCATCGACCCAATGTTTTTAGTAGTTTCTTTTGCAATTTCTTTTTCGTAGCAGCTGATGAAGCTATCGGTTAGATCACGGATAATACCTGGTGTGTAGGTTTCGATGTGGGCTTGGTACTCTTTATGGAAGATTTCGTTCTTAATCTGTTGTGCGCGCTTTATATCACGGTTGAATTGCGTTGGTAAATATTTCATATATGGTATCATTTGGTACATATTCGCATACATAGATTGTTTAGAAACAATTTCTCCAAATAAGGACAAACATTCGATAGTTGGATCATTCAATTGAACTTTCTTGGATGTGAGCCATTCCCAAAGTTGTACAAGTATCGAGGACTCGAAAAGTTTCTTAGGGGAGAATGGAATTCCTTTCCTGGTCTCGAGATCTCCTATTGCAATATCAACGGCATGTCCAACACGTTGTGATGCTTCGTCAATACCAGCACCCAAAACATGCATCGCAGATTTAAACACTCTTCTACGAAATCGAAATTCAGGTGAATAATCTGCTGTTAATAAATCTTCTCCAAGTATTTCTCCCCAAGGATAAAAGGACGCTGGCGATCGTCCTGAAAGATCATCGTGTCTACCAAGTCTTGCTTCTCTCACAAGTGATGCGGAACTTAAAACAACCACACTAGCTCCACCTCCAGGAAAAGTGACAGTGAATATATCTCCATATTGTTCAGCCAGTTTAGCTAAAGGATTTATGGGATCACACATCATATCAGGCATGTTGCCAATGAAGGGATAGGGAAATGGTCCAGGTGGCATATTTCGTCTCGTCATATAAGTGGTGATAACATACCACACCAACCAGACAAGCACCAGTGAAAGAAATAATTCACCAATCATGGTTTCAATTTTCATCAAGGTAACGTCACAATGATATATTTTCGCACTAAATGGCAAAAATAAAAAGAGTTATTGAAAACTATACTATAGTTTTATGTTATTATAAGTAATAGCATGGCATTCAGGGCGATTAGTGATCAAATGTACCCGAAAGCAGAGAGAGGTTTAGTATAAAAGCCCCGAGGCGCGCAGAGCCGAGGGACTTTTGCTAAACCTGTCGAGGCTTGAGGGACATTTCATCACTAATCGACCGTAATGCCATGCTATCACTTTGTATTATAATATAGTATTTGTAAATTCTGAACGCTGATTGCCTAAGAGCCGTGTTGATATAACTCAATGTCAACAAGGAAACGTCGGTAAATTTCATTCTTTATATTTCTTTGTGCTATATTATAAAACAAATATAAAACATTTTTTCCGTATTGACATATAGTTATATCAACACTCGTGGAAATTGGGAAAACTCGAAATTGTGCGAAAACACTCGGTCCTTCGGGCGTCGTATTTCCACACAATTTCTCGTTTTTCCAATTTCCACTCGTGTTGATATAATTGTATATCAACACTGAAAATGTTTTATATTTGTTAAATATCATAGGTACCGAGACAATAAAACGGTTTCATACTAATGACTATTGGGATGTTCGTTAAAGAGGTTACGCTTGATTTTCATGTCTGTTAAAATATTTAATTGAATATCAATATAAGAAGTTATGCACAAAGATGAGGGACGATTAGTAACCAGTTTCTCATCGTCCCTCATGTTTTAGCAATGAAGTAAATTAGTCATTAATCGTCCCTCGCGAAACAAAGGATTTCGAGGAAGCTATAATATTACATCCAGTGTCCTAGAATTTAATGTAAAACATCATTCTTGAACGTCAGGGAAACAGTTTGGAAATACAAGTTTATCGTCTTTCGGCCTTCATGCCGAAAATTAGTTTGGCTGTAGATGCGGTAAAAATATAGTTGCTTTTACAACAAGTTTTTATTTGTAGAAGACTATAATAACTCACTGATCCAAAGGATAGTGTCATGTTTCAAGGTGCTAAATAATCGCTTTGCTGGTCCTCGTTGAAGCAGAAAAGACGAAGAGAAAAAGAAGGCCTCCAAAAATACAGCTTTCGTCAATAAACACCCAAATAAACGCTTGTTAATATTGAACTATAAAAACTGAGTTAAAAACTAAAGAAAACCCTGGGCCGAAAGAATGTTTTCCCTTACCCGAAACATGTAAAATGAGAACAAAGAAATGTAATGTGTAATCGTTTGTAACCAATCAAATTCTCTGTTCAAAATTTCAACATGCATTTAGTCAAGTTTGGATAACTGGAGTATCAACACTTGGAGGTTTGTATTGAGCCTATATGCAATATGATTGATGTGATTTAGTAGCCAAATCTACCAGTGCCTTTTTTAAGGAATTTTCACTGGGGGGGGGGGCAAAACAGAAAAAAGGCAGAACGAAAAATATGAGCCGTCGAGGTTTGGCGAACGCGCGACTGGCGCGGGTCTGAAGAGAGATTTTGTAAAACTTTAATTTATTAACTTCACCTATATTTTACTTTAAACAATAACTTCAACTCTTTGTAGCTATAATCGTACAGCTATAATCTGTGGCGTAGCCAGACCTTAATTTTTTTTATTTTGTTTTTTGGGGGGGGGGCGAACCTCACGCCGAAGGCGTGAGACCGTCTAAGAAGGTCCGGGGGCATGCACCCCCGGGAAAATTTTGAAATCTAGGGTCCCTGAATTGCGATTTCAAGCATTTTGGGGATGAAATCTAGCAGAATTCCGAAGATTATAAAGTACATCGAAGAAATGAATTTTTCCAGACATTTCTACTCGGAATTAAATATATTGGAAAAGGCACCTTGAAAAATAGGAGCAGGGGTCAGTGTCACCTTATTTCCTCTCTGTGATGCTGGGGGGGGGAGAGAAAATCCCAATGTGATTTTGATCAGAAATGTTGCATTTAAATCATTTTAGGTTCTATGAGACACCATTTCCGCATTCTCAAATTGCGTTGCTTTTTCATACGATACAGAAGAAATATTCATGCTATGATGATACATACATGTATTTAACAGTTAAAAATCTAAACTAAATATATTCTTGGAACCAGCATTTTATCGGATTGTTTGCATTAAATCTATCGCTATTATGAAATACTCGGTGAAGAACAATATGAATTACACACAAGATGGCTGTGTAGGAGGCTATGGAAGGGCATAATCTCATTATCAAGTAAATCAACTGCAATTCCGACAGCAATCATGAGCAATTCTGCTTCGCACTTCGGGGGCAGAAATGGCTTTACTGGGGGGGGGGCAAATTCTTTCCCTGGGGGGGGGGAATTGCCCCCCCCAGATATATAGTTAAAAAAGGCACTGAAATCTACAGTGTGTGATATATCCACCTACTGTACACTGACACCCACCGTTCAAGATTAGAATGATACAGTATTTCACATGCATGTGCAGTACTTCTAAGTGGGTGCCCCCCCTGATCCTCTTCTCTACACTACTGTATTTTCTCTGACCCCCTTCAGTACTGTATCTCTGTCAGGCACTACTCTTGCTGTCATTAAAATATGCCATTATCAGAGGCATGGTTCATGCCACCAAAACTAGTATTTCAGTGTACTACATGTATATACAATTATGGTACAGCTCAACGTGATCCACTTCAAAAGTACTGGCACTCATGGGAGCAGATATTGACGTTTTTACTCTTTTTAACTATCGACCTATCAATCATACAGTTCGCTCTTGGAAATAATTCAGTTTTTTTGGACAATTTCAGGGTGTTAGCTACAGTCAAAAATTCCGCGTTAAACGCGGTTTTCCCAATTACCTTGAGGTCGCAATTTCCCAATTTGGGTCAGCCAAAAAATAGTTAAAAACATGTTTAACTACATTTGCTCAAGATTACTCCCAAAATGCGGGAAATGCCATTTCAAAAACACAAAAATTTTAAAAATCAGAGGAGGCAACCGCATGCCCCAGACCCACAAAGAAATGCCTGGTTTCAGGCTAAAATAAATTTCCCAATTTCAGATAAACGCGGATTTTTTTTACTTCTGGCTAACACCCTGAATTTAGGAGGCAAGTGGAACCCCCGCGAAAACAACATATACATGTTTACGAATAAAAAAAAAACAAAAAAACTTGCTTTACTGTATATTTCATCATTTCTCATCTTATATCTCCTTCGACTCATTTCTTTAAAGTAAAATTTAAAAAAATCGCTTTACAGCTCATTGCATGAAACGACTTTTCCATATGTTTTCATTCTTTTGGCTCATTCCACTCCTGGCAGTCTGCCATATTTTGAGATCAGTGAGATGACCACCATTACCACATTTTTGAAACCGCTAACAGCCTTCCGATTCCCGGGTGTAAATAGAATATAGCTCATACACCTTGGTGACATCCCCACTCAACCATTCCCCCCCCTCCCCAGTCGAAGTCCCTTTTCTCTAAAACGTGAGCGAAACATTGGAAGAAAAATGCAATTTAGAATGTTTGATATTCTAGTAACTGAAATTTGCTAATTGTGAATCTTATGCCCTGTCCTTCATCTTCAAATGATTCAATGTCTTTTTAAAAATGCTAAACATTGTGTTGTAAATACCTTACATTTTAAAAATTTCCAAGTGAATAGCATATCCCAGACCCTGTAGATTTGAGTTTTTGGTAGGCTAGGCTAAACAATTAGTTACAGTGGCCGAGTTATATGGTATTTACATAAACATACCATGCAAGTACTTAAATAAAGACCTAATCTATCTTCTTTATAATATATATATCTCGAAAAATCTGTTTCAGACAACGCACAAAATGCAGTCCAGAAAAATACAAAAATGTTCTGCGGCAGAATAACCCCAAACCCCGGCTCTACTATTACATACAACATTCACAAACCATCTGTCATCCCCCTGAGTGATGCCAGCTGTATAAGGTAACCCGTATGGGATTTTTTTAGCATAGAACTCGAAAGAACTGAAAATTATATAATCTTCCGCACAAAATTCCCATCCCCATAGGGAGGGTTTTCAGCAAAAGTTGCCAAAGTCCCTACCCCAGCCCAGGGTCCCCATCCCGGGATGGCCAATAACACATTGACACATGAGAGATATTTCATAAGTTCGAGCGAGATATTTCATAATTTCCAGATGCATTATACATATTTAACACTTAATTTAAATGATAATTTACATATACAATACACAAGTAGAATTGACTACAACATTCAAATGTAACCAAAACCTTGTTTCTTAACAGATTACACGATTCGTGTAAAACAAAAATGAATGCATCATCCATGCAGAAATCCCTCTGGCAAGCAACCACATTTTCCAAAAGCATATCGGGGAAGGGGGGGGGGGGACACAGCCCACCCAAAATTTTTAAGGTCGGGCAATTGAGCTGAAATCCATGTGTCATTCGGGCAAAACATAACTCTCATTAAAGTTAATAAGAAGAACCACGGACTACACTGTCATTGTCAATGAATAATTAAATATAATAACGCCAATATTAATTACCTTTAATGTACTTTGTCATATATGAAGTACACCTGTATATTAATGATGGTTGATGCTTTAATAATGGCAAAGATTGGGAAGACAGCAGAAACATTGAACATTGTTCTTAGTTCTTGTCTTAGTGGTTCTAGGCATTTCGGTTAAACTGTCGGATTGCTTCCCCGACAATAAAGAAATCACTCACTCACTAACGTTTACAAAAGATTGCATTTTTCGCTTCACACATCACAGAAATATCTCGCCCTTTTGAAATCTAAATTCTCTCACTACTCCCCGCAAAGCGTTCTCGCGTGGTAATCACGCGCGCAAACCAAATAAGGTTAAACAAAATGAACTATATATTTTTCGTATTATAAAGTACTTAAAG